AGTCCAACCAATACATGATACGTTAAATAGTTTGTATGGATACACAAAATGGTTCCTTACAGATTGCCTTATAAAGCAAATTCTGACTATATATCTAAGACTATATTCATACCTGACATATTTTCATTTGTCTAATCCAAACCTGGCTTAATGAACATATGTCCATTTAATGATTATGCATGGCAGAAGTAACCCCCTTTAAACAGTATGGGATACGATTAGTGGAGCTTATTGTTGGAGCAGGAGCCCGGCAGTGCTCTGAGGATGCAACAAGTGAACCGGTGGTCCTCCAGTGAACCGCGCACACAGCGGTGCTCCGTTAGATACCCTTACTGTGACAGTGTTAACCCTCACTGCTCCGCTGGGTACGGCTCATGTTACAGAGGATGGGGACTTCGGCCAATGGCTAATTAACTAGCTTCATTTAGCAAACTATATTAAGGTCAAGAAGCGGACGCTAATGCAATGCAGGCAACGCTACTTAACAAGGTGAAGAGCAGGCTGTATTACCGTACGGCTGGGACAACTCCTGACTACGAGCTAACTTACAACGTGTTGTGTTAGCCACCGTTAGCTAACCGTTAAGTTTCCCAGCCACAACTTGAGTATCAAACTCACCTCTCAGCGGACTCCGCTCTTATATTTAACTTTTCATCAGTGGACTCATCCTCTTTCAGCCGAGGTACTTCTGTGGGCATTAAAAGGAGCTGTCTGTCAGCAGTGAGGCGGGCGGGGTTAGTGGTTAAAGGTCCACAGAGCCATGCAACAGGGGGTTTGTTTATCTGTGCGGCACCAGTGTCACATTCACGGTCTGTCCAGCGTCATTGTGCTGGCCCGTCCAGGCACCGTGCTGCATTCAGGTGCACCTCGCCCTCGTCTCATCAGCTACAGATCTGCTGTGATGCTGTACGACGTGTCGGACATATAAAATGTTGTTCCGACATATAAATGGTACATTTTAAAAGCCAAGCGCGATAGATTTGTATTGTCCTGCAATATCTTATTGGTGTGTTTATTCAGAGTTTTTAGTCATTTATCAATTTAATTCAGTTGAAATTTGCTTTGAATGAATGTCAACAACAATATTGCCAAAGCATTAAGAATAAATGAAACAAAATAAATACATTTCATGATTTAAAACAAGAAAAGAGTAGCAAAAGGTTTTTCAAAACGTGCTATGTGTGTGTTTGTGTTTGCATTATATTGTTGTTTATGTGTCTGTACGTGTATATAAGTAAGAAATAATCATTCATAATACTACTATCTGATATGATGACAATATCTTATGCAAGAAACAACCAAGTGTAATTATTTTCTCTTCTAATCTCTGGGATGAGGAGATACATTTTGCTGCAATTATTTCGCATTTGGGGATTTCTGCCCGTAAACACGGGAGTCTGTTTTTGATTCAATATATATGTATATTCTGGTAATTCAGAAGTATTTCTGCCTTAAAGATTCATATTTTGGGTATTTCTGGGGAGCTAATGATTATCATTACTTCTAATTGCCTTTTCCTCGACTCCCAAACTTCCTAGTTAATATAGACAGTTTGGCTCAATTTACAGATTTGTCGAGTTGTTTATGTCCGTTTTTGCAATTTCAGTATTCCCGACAATCCTTAAAGGCAACATAATCACTGCGTCCAAACAACTTGTGTGAGATGGATGACCACTAGTGGCTACAGGCTGCTAGTGCAGAGCTGCTGAGGTTTGTACATTTGCCTTCATTGCGGTACCCTGATCAGAGGGATTATTGTAGTGGATCATTATGGATTTATCATAAATAGGGGGTGATTATGTTAACTATTTTTTAACATGAATATATTATAATATTAATATGTATTCTCCTAATACTTTCTAAAGATCCCCTGCAGGCAGGCTTATACAAATAATCTGCTTAGAACAATAATGTGTATCTGATGATTTCTGCAAAGAAGTATAATTTACACATTAAAAGGGCATCTACACTTTCTACCTCATTCTCTGAATCTCTGAATATGCTAATATTGTTCATTTCTAAAGTTTTCCTGTTGGACAAAAGATGTCTCCTACTTCACTGTAAAGTCCATTCTCATTGATGTGGCACTGGGGAATTCAAGTTCTACATCACACTCTACAAGTGCATACTGGACGCAGGACTGGATTTCCAAAATGTGATGTTAACAAATCTTGCTTATAGGCCCCGCCCCCTTAAAATCAGATTTATTCAGTGAGCAACAGAGAAACTTTTCCCACTTTCAGCAATAAATGTAAAACTACCTTCTAGTGTCAAACTCTGTACATACAGCATTCTGCACAGTGAAGATCAAACATCAAACTGTAGGCAGAACAAAAACTGATTTTTAGTGGAGGGAGACTTTAAGTACTTAACCACAAACTGATGGTCAAGTCTGCGGACAGAGGGCCATACACAACCTGCATTATTTCCTCTCTTTGTCGTGATAGATGTATGCAAGAGTTTTGAGGTTTAAAGATCTGAATGTTTGTGTGCTGTGGAGAAGAATCTGCTCGAATGAAACCAGTATAATTATGTCCATGCAGAATTTTCAGATTTTATAGAACCAGTATGTCCAACTGTTATAAGATAAGATATTATGTCAGAGTAGAAAAAAACAGGTGTAAGTACCAGAATTTATAATGGCTGAATTCAATTTAGCTGCTTCAGTTTCAGAGAGCAGGTGTTATTATGCATCATGATTTACTGGGACACCTGAATGGAACTGAGCCATTGTTAATCTTATTAGTAACACCTGCTTTCCCCACTATAATAAGTCTAAATGTCTGCTGTAAAAACGGCCTGTTTTGTGGAATCCAAACTTCCCCCATATATATAGAAACTAATTCTCTCTTAGCAACTGTTTTCACTTCTCACCTCTCCCCTATAATTTTATTTTCTCAGTGTAATGCCAGGTGTCTGCACACTGTTTAATGTGGTGTGTGCTCGCGTGTGTTTCATAGCACAGAAATATTGGATACCTGGCAAACAGGAAGGAAGAAAGCAGCGGACACAGAACACAGCCGGCTGGGCTGAAAATAAGCGTGCTAAATCAAAGTTCAAAGTCAGTCTCGCGGAAAGCACTGGCAGGCACACAGGATGTAAAAAAAAACAAAACTTCAGTAGTAAGACAGGAAGCAGAATTAAAGAATGGCTGAAATTGATGACAGTAAAGCTATGCAGCCAAGTAGACAGAGGAATCAAGCTTAGGCTTTAAGTGCAATGTCAGGTGTCTGCACAGTGTCTAAGTGCCTCTGAGTACTCTTTAAAGCATTATTCTTTAATACACCAAGGAAAGATAATTAGAAAATAGGTGAGCAAGTGGCTGATAAGGAGGCAGGGAAGGACAAACGGACTGGGGAGGGAGGGACATGTCTGTAAGTGATGGTAAAGGGAGACCTTGCAGATATCACCATGACTCCTTGCTTTTACAACAGCCCTGATTTCTCATCACTTTATGTTACCTGACCAGAGGGCCAGGTACCATCTTACCTTCCCTTTTGTTAGGAATTGAATCCTTTATGCTTTTATACTTAAACTCTGATCACAGCGATATTTGATCACTTCTTTTAGTCTGGTGGAGGTGGAGTTATGTGCTGCATTTCATAATTTGCATTTCATCCAATATGTGTTTGCTACTATTACAATCATCTCACTTTGTTCTGTAGTTGAGGATGTGATCAACAGGAATGCACTGTTTAATATGACCCCTGGGCCTTGATAAAATGCTTCCTGAGATTTCATTATTTGGCAAAGGATGATCATTGAAATGTATAAATCCTCAAAGGTATGTACATACCTTTTCAATATCATGTTGCCAAAATCCATCAAAGAGGCAAAGCATAGCATGTCGGACCACTGGGTGGCTTTTGTATGAGCAGATAATAAGCCTGTATTTTGACACTGTGTTTTTGTGGTATTATTCATTTCAGTAATGCATTAGCGCATTAGGGTGAGCGCATCTGCAATGGCTTGTGCGCGCTGTGAGAGTGAAAGAGACAGACAGAAAGAGAGAGATTCAGCATACCACTCCACAGTATGTTATCAGGGTGTCCTTGGGCCGCTCCCTCTCTCATTTCCATCTCTGTCTGCTCACGTGTGGCAGACTGTTGGGAAGAGACAGAAACAGGGAGAGGGGGAGAGCAAATGTACTGCAAAAATCCCAAACGCCTGGTGCTCCTTAATCATTCAACACAGTTAGCCTCTAACAGCGTATTTCACATCTACAATCATACTCCTAAATACTTCCCTGAAAACAGATAACTGTCTTGTTTCATGTGCCTCGGCTGTGATCAGATTCAGTACATGCTGTATACCTTTGTTGAGCATCTGCCCTGCTTCTGCAGGCCATGCACATGATGTGAGCATATTTCTGCTGCTATATTTTCACATACAATATGTTCCGGCACATATGGCTTTTGTATTTTTGAACCATCTCAGTATAATACCATCTGTGAATGGTTCTTTTCATCTGATGGAATCTGATCTTTTGCTATAGCGATTAAATGTCTTTTGTGGCTGTTTATCTACAGTATTTTGACATGAGCTTTGAATTGACATGATGTATTACTGACTGTAAATTGTATTGAAACCTCTGTAAAATTCAAACCAGCCAAATGACCAGAGGCATAGCGCTCTCTTACCATCTTTTATTTACAAGGAATTTGTGTGTCTTTTCTTAACTTGACTCAGTGTGCATCCTATCATTCACTGACACTATGTTGTTTCACATTGTTTAACATAGGGCTTCAAATGATCATTTTATAATAACACTGGTATTTCCTTACCTTAAACACAATACTCCAGAGGTTATGCAATATACTTTGGTTACTGAAATCTTTAAAACAAACCAGTCAGATCAAGTATATTTAATGAGTCTATATTTTTATACACACAACCTACTGCTGTCATTGATTTCTACTTTTATAATTTAGGAATTATTATAATATTTGTGAACTGTGTCACAGTTTTAACCACCTGCATTACAGAATACTACTTGTCTTCATGACCCACTAAAAATTATTGTCCAACACAAAGGTAACAGGATGTCATGCTGCGCTATTTGTGTCAAGTTCAAATTCAAGGGTTTAGATAACTCCTAGCTTTGTGAGAACTGGACACTATGACATATAACCCAAGGTGATCTATGAACTTGCCACTCCTTACGGTCTGCACTGTTGTGGTTATGTAAAACAGACTCCAGGAACATGTACAATAGCTGACCTTACCAAACCATCAACACACTAACAAGACATCCATTCCAGAAACTTCATAATTCCCAACGGATAATGGCCCGTTGTGTGTGCCTCTGCTTGGAAATTCAACTGGGAAAGGAAGAGACTGGTCTTCCTTGAGCCTATTCTTCCTTCAGGCTTTTTGTTTGTGGTGTCTTTGTGTTCCTCTTTTCATCGTAGCCAGACCAGTGGTTCCCAACCTTTTTACTTAAAGGAACCCTTTTTCTATCATTGAGACAACTGACCACCCCTGTCTAAGTGACTATTTTATGGATGTTTCATATTATATTCCCTGCATGACAATAACAGAATAGAACCACTGATAAACTGTACAATGAACCCAAAAAGTCAATGCGATAACGGCAGGAAATTTGTGTAAAATGAGAAATTTGCTTGAATTCTGAGCAGATTAATTCCTGTGAATATTGCATCAGAGAGTTTTCCTAATATTTTGGGAACTTTTAATACAGTTCTCTGTCTGTATTATGTAGTTAAAATGTTTTTATAAATACTTCTTTTGTTTTATTCTCCCTGATGATGGGTCATTATTCTATTAGCTCTTTGG